GCCTGAAAGAGAAAGCAAATGAGTCTGGAGAAGCCAGCGAGAGACAACCAGGAGGACCTGGGCCTGCAGTGCCTGAAACCTGCCATGTAGCCAGTCAGCCACGTTGCCCAGCAGCTCGGCCTCAAGGTTGTGGTCCGAGTGTGGTTCTGCACTGGTTGCCAGAAGGACAAATGATCAAGCAGTGACTATTTGCAAGGAGAGGATTTTGAGTCCCCTTTCTCAGGGGCACCAGTGTACTTTACTCTGGCACCAGGGCCCCCTTTTCGTACCCCAGGCTATAGAGGCCCTCTCTTCACTCAGTCCCTTCCCCTGATGGTGAGGCCTTTCCCTCTGTGTCTGTCACCACTCTGGGATCTCCTATGCATTCAAACCGAGGTGCCTTCCCTTCCCAGGAATGGGGGGCAGAGAGAGGGGGAGGGCTAGGGAAAGAGAACCTGAGGTTTGTACAAGGACTCTGTAATTAAGTTCTTTATTCACTGAGAACAGATTTGGGAACACAAAGGGTGTGGGGGCAGGGAGTTTGGGGGGAAGGTACAGTTCAAGGATGCTCTTGTTTTTAATTCCCACATCACTCATCACTTTGTTCTTAAATAAAGAAGTCTAGGATACGGTAAATAAATAAATAGAAGGAAAAGAAAAATCTAAACTGTATTGTCTAAATTTCATCATAGAGTACTTTAATATTAGTTTCTCTTTGGTTTTTATCTATGTCAGAGTTTCAGTCTCACTCATTTACCATTTTCATCTTCTGGCCAAATGCAGAAATTACTTCTCTTGGAGTTCCATTTTCTGATAATAACAAAATTTATCTTCAGGCCCATTTGGTGTGAATTTTGTTCCCTTTTATTTGCCTATCAAATATTTGGTTTGAATTAATCATAAACTTAACACAGTTTTAACTCAAGTTTTTTTCTCTACCTCATCTTTACAGAAGTTACTACCATTTCTTTCTTTTTAATGAAACTGGGGAGTCACTATTGATTTTCAAAATCTTAACAATTGTTGAAGCCAGCTTGGATCTGTATTCTGTGATTTTCATTATTGTTTCAAAAGTAAATATGCCCCATGGTGTTCAAATTACTTTACCTATCCTGAAGCAGCACCAGATGGCATGGGGTAAAAAACAAAAACAAAAACAAAAAAAAAAAAACATAGACGTGTAATGGATGGCAGGGAAGCTATTTTGAAACTTAAAACGTATCATTAAAAACTGATTATTACTGGGGGGCCTGGGTGGCTCAGTCAGTTGAGCATCGGACTCTTGGTTTCAACTCAGGTCGTGATCTTGGTGTCATGGGATTGGGCCCCAGGTCAGGCCCCTCATGGGGCTCTGCGCTCCGCATGGAATCTCCTTGTCCCTCTCCCTCTGCTCCTCCCCCTTTCCCTCCCACCTCTTTCTCAAGTAGGTAAATAAACAAAATCTTTAAAAACCCAAACTGATTATTACTATTCCTAGAAAAACTACTCACTGTACTTTTCTCCCTTATTTCTGATTCCTATACATGGTATGTCTTCTGGTTTGAAGCCTAACAATAAAACAATCAAGTATTTATTGTGGGAAATATGTTATTTTTCAGGTTTATTCATCAACCTTATGACCTAGGTACCTCTTGGTAACTCTGAACTCATGGAATTTTACCTAAATGTGTATGTCTGACTGAGTTATAATTGATGAGTGAAGCAGTTGGAGAGTACTGCTGCCCTAACTACCCAGATATGTGGGGGCAGGTATTCATCTCTGTGCTTCAGAATCCTTACCTGTGACGTTCTGACTTAGACTGGATAATCTCCAAAGACTTCTTCAGCTTAAAACTCTGAGTGTAAATTCTTTTTCCAACTTCTTAAATAGCATAAACTTTTATATCTTTTAAAAAACTTTTCTATATCTTTCTACCTTACTTATTTGATGCTGTGAAACCATCAGAATTTAGAGAGCAAGTCATACTTTTCTAAAAAAGAGTGTATCGTGAAACTTCATAAATTGGCACTTTAGGGTTGTAGAGTTGTAGATAGTGTGCTGTTGCGTAGATATGCTGTGTCTGCCTAATACACATTTTTGGTTGATTGGGTATTTGCTAAAAGTGGGTAATTTAAATTATCTACCTGTAATTTAATTCTTGTAGCTCTCTTGTTTTTAATCTTGCAAGTGGTTAGTATGCATTTAAATGAAACTATGAATTGGTATGTAATATAATTTACATTTTTAGTAGTTAGGTATTAAACTCTTACTATATAGTTCATGGGTATTTGTTACAAAGTGGATGTTGCAGTTTTTAGTACTTTCTTGCATAATCAGTTCAGATTGCATCAGCTACACAAAATTTGGTTGTGCCGGTGTGCATGGAAAATTTCCAAAGAATAGTTAATGGAGGGGATGTGCAAAATCAATTAAGTCATGTGATCTATATTATGGGGTAGGAAGCCTACTTAAAGACATGGCTAGGATGGTAACTAGACTTGTGGTGATCATTTTGCAGTGTATACAAATATCGTATCATCATGTTTTACACCTGAAACTAATATAATGTATGTCAATTATACCTCAATTAAAAAAAAAGACAAGGCTAGATTTAAGTCATCTAATGAGGAAGAAGGAGAAACAATTTCACTTCTCAGAAGGATTAATCTATTTTTACCTTAGTGACTAAGTTTTCCCAAGAAATTTCTCTAGCAATTTAACTCCTTACCTGCTTTCATCCTGATTACTTTAGTTTGGGATATTTGACTTTCTAAGGGCTTTATCAACTTTCTGTTGTCTCAGAGAAGTCATTTAAAAAGTGGTTTTGTTTCTTTTCCTACTTCAGTGCATTTGACATCTTTCTGGAACACTTTTGGCTTCTATGATATAATATTCTTGCTCTGAATCTACTTCCAGGTTAATTTTCTCTTCTTTAAGAGCTAAGGTCACTTATGCCTAGTCACACTCCCTTGCCTGAATAGAGACTGTCGGGAGGGGTCATCAAATTAAGATTCATGCAGAGATGTGAGGTCATCATGCTCAGATCCATGGGTTGTTTATTACTGGCATCCAAAAAAGAGGTCTCCTTTCTGCTGGGGACCAAACCAAATATATGTGTTTGGGGACAATTACACATCCAAGGGAATTTCAAGCAAAAGTCACATGAACAGATGAAGATAAAACAGGCTTTATTATAAAAATTAGGACCAGAAATGAGATGCTTCACAAACCACTAGCATAGTTAACCCAGAACCCAGCCTGAACTGGGAAGAAAGTTATAACTCTCACAGGGAGCCAGAGAAGGATCAGAATGAAGCATAAAACAGCTAAAGTCTCTAGAACAAGGCAGTTAGCCATTACAATATGAAGTAAAATAGCCATTTTTGCTCTTTAAAAGACTCATTAAGGAGTATTTTTCTGTTTTGATAATGCCCTGTCCTTCCATGCTTTAGGTACTCTTCCTCTTAAACCTCTCTCATATCCACTTATTTTCTAGTTCCAAAGCCACCTAATTCACTTCTTTATCCCCTAAAGTACCAATACTCAAAGACTAATAATGACCTCTGTTCCTACACATTTACTGCTTGCCAGGCCCTGTTCTTGGTGCTTTAACATGGTCTCATCTTTTTTTTTTTTTTTTTAGAATTTATGTATTTATTTGAGAGAGAGAGAGCATGAGCAGGAGCAGAGGGAGAAGCAGGCTCCCCACTGAGCAGGGAGCCGGACGTGGGACTCGATCCCAGGACCCTGAGATCATGACCTGAGCCGAAAGCAGACGCTTAACCGACTGAGCCACCCGGGTGCCCCTAACATGATCACATCTTGTTCACAAGATCAGTATTATTATCTCCACTTAATAGATGAGGCCGTTAAGCAATCACTTAAGATTATATAGCTAGTAATTATGCAACATGAATTTGAACGCAGGCTTTCTTAGGTTTGTGATTTTTTTCCACTTCACTTCATTATAATGCCCTCTTGTTCCTTCCTGTAATCTCTCCTCTTTCAAGGCTTATTCCCACTTAGAGTTACTTAAATATTATTTTCTTTGTTACTTACCTATTCAAAAATGTAGAATCACTTGGTTATTTTTTCTTCATTTGTAGATTCAGCAATTCAGAGCTATTTCCAGACCTGCCCCACCTTTCCTCCTGTGTCGTCATCCTGCTCTCAAGTGGCAGTACTTCATGGAAGAACGTTCCTTTCTCATTACTGATTGCCGTACTGTGCTGTACACCTGGAGTACTCATTACCTTCTGTGCCTTCATCTTTCCTTCTAATTTGGTTATCTTTACCACTGACATTCCATCTTCCTCCTCTCCTAAAAATTCTTGTTCAAACCTTTGTGATTGAACCTATTTGACTGTTAACTTCTAGGTGACATTCCTTCTTCCCTTATGTATTCATTGTGTATTAGATTGCTGTGTATTTGGATTGTTACGATTGTATATTGTTTCATTAGAAACAACTATGTAGGGGCACCTCAGTGGCTTAGTCAGTTAAGCGTCTGCCTTCAGCTTGGGTCATGATCTCAGGGTCCAGGGATCGAGCCCCACGTCGGGCTCCCTGCTCAGCGGGGAGCCTGCTTCTCCCTCTCCCTCTGTCATTTCCCCCCTTGTGCTCTCTGGCTCTCTCTATCTCCTCTGTCAAATAAAAATAAATCTTTAAAAAAATTTAAAAAAAAACTATGTAAGCTTCTTTCAAGTGGATACTGTGCCCTTTTTCTATTTCACATTACCTCAAAGCACCTGGTAGAATTTTTGATCCAGAGATCATTTAAGCAATACTGACTAACTTGTTCCGTTTGAAGTCTACATTTTAATCAGACAAAACTAACAGTGTGGTCATGTATAATAATTTAAGTCCTGGTACTGGCATTAAAAAAATGATAATGATTTCTTCAAAAAGCTGGTGCATCCAAAATTACATTCTAGCCCTAAAACCAAATGGGCTAAAACAAAGTAATCCTGAACCCTAATTATATAGGCTATGATTCATTTTGCTTAAGAACTGTGGTATCCACCATGTGAGGACTTTAAGCATGTGGAGACATTTAAAATATTTAGGTGTTGAAAGGTATCATTTCCCTCTGTGATAGAATAATTCCCTTTTCTCACCCTTTTTCCTTAACCTATTAGTCCCACCAATGGCATAAGCTAGCTGCATGGCAAATACACACTTGTACTAATACCTAAAGTAGCCTTTGGCGCTTCTTAAACATGAGAGATTGAGGGTAATTCTTGGAATTCTGCTAGTCAGTTTTAATCCTGTGTTTTCTTTCTTTAGGTTTCCTGAAATGCAGTTTTTCCAACAAGAAAATGTGAGAAAAATTCTTACAGATGTTCTTTTCTGTTATGCTAGAGAAAACGAGCAGTTGCTTTATAAACAGGTAATGAAAATATCGTACAGGTGGCATCCATTGACTCAAAATTTTCTATACAGCTTGACAAATGATAGAGCAATAATATAGCCTTTATTGTATCCAAAGTTGTATCATAATAGTAAAGCAATCAAAGAGCTGCTTGTCAGCTGCATGGTGAGAAAAGTAAGCTCATTGAAGCACATATGCTTCTTCCTTATTATAAGACATTCCACCAAATTGTCTTCTATAAGGCGTTCAATCTTTTCTTTCAACTTTTGGGAGTTTGTTTATAAACAGCATCGTTGAAGCCAATCTAGTAATAAAACTTTTCGGAGTTGTATGTATAAATGTTTCTAAATACAGCATTTTAAAATATGTGACATGCCATGTAAAAAATAATCAGGTGTCCTTCTACTCTTTAAGATTTACTGGTAATATAACTTCAAAAGTTCCTCTAAATTTTTTGAAATTTATGATATTCTTTGTTATCCAGATATTCATCCCATTACTAAAGGAAAGAAGATGAAGATTGCTGGATTATGTTTTGCTCTCATTGAAATGTAAATTATTTATTTAATATATAAAGAAGATCTAGGTTTCTACTTAAGCTTATGGTGTTCCAATAAAAATACAAAAGTTGGATATTTTTATGTATTTCTCAAAATGAATAGTAAGTGGGAATTCAAACCAAATTAATAAATTCTCTGACAATCAAAAGTTACGATGTATGTCCAACCAGTAACCACCTAACTTCAATGTAATATACAGAAAACACCTGTATGGCTAGAGCAATGTAGATTTTTTTTTTTTAAGTTTATTTATTTAAGTAATCTGTATACCCAGCATGGGGCTCGAACTCAGAACCCCGGGATCAAGAGTCACACCCCTTCTGACTGAGCCACCCAGGCCCTCCTTAGAACAATGTATTTAATTTGAAATATACTTGATCAGTTTAAAGATAATATACCACTGATGAATCACTGAACTCTACCTCTGAAACTAATAATATACTATATGTTAATTAATTGAATTTAAATAAAATAAAAAAATAAAGATAATAAACCAAGTCATATTCCAGTTGTCCTAAATAACATATTTGTTATTATATACATAAAATACCCAAGGGAACTAATTTTATCTTACTTTTAGTATTACTAATACGCCTTCATATTAATTACATGGTGATAATCACCTTTTAGAATGGAAGATGGAAAAAATATATCCCATTCATAATGGCAACCAAAACTTTAAAATGTCTTGAAATAAGCATAACAATATAGGTGCAGAAACTATGTGAAGAAAACTATAAATGTTCTTGAAGGATGTAAAGCAAGAGTTAAATAAACAGAAAAGTGATAGTATGTAGATGGGAAGGCATTAAATAAAAATTTTACTTCTTCCCAAATTAATATATAAATGTATTATCATTCCAGTGATAATCTAAGAGAGAGATGCACTTTTTAAAAACTGGACATGGTCATTTTAAATTTGGTGCCAAAAAGCTTTACCGTAATTTTAATGGAGAGAATACAGCTTAGTGGTTAAGAGAACTGGGTCTAGTCCTATATCTGTTATTTAAATATCATCTCAAACATTTACTAGCTACATAATCCTAGACAATTTACTTAAATTTTCTAAGTCTTAGTTTTATTGGCAGTAAGATGAAGGCAATAATAGTACTGACTTTGTAGAATTAAAAACACATAGTGATCACTAAGGGTTCTTGTTGGTATTTATGGTGGTTATTACTATTATTATCATTATTAAATATGTTAGAGTTGCTACAGAATGTAGTGGAAAGGGAGAATGGCAAAGGGAAATATGAAAACTTCTGTAAGTAGTCTGTGATCAAGCTAGTATGACATTAGTGTGGGAATCAACATAGATCAGTGGAACAAACTAAGAACAGGTCCAGTTATATATAAATTCTTAATATGATAAGATAGGATATTTTCATTTAATGGGAAAAGGATATTGATTTGCCATGTTTGACTTTCCATCTAGAAAAAAGATTAAAGTATACCTTTATTGGAGAATAAACTCCAGGTGGCATAAAGATATAAATATGAAAACTAAAATTTTAAGATTTATTTATTAGAGAGAGAGAGAGCATGAGAGGGGGGAAGGGCAGAGGGAGAAGCAGACTCCCCGCCGAGCAAGGAGCCTGATGTGGGACTCGATCCCGGGACTCCAGGATCATGACCTGAGCCGAAGGCAGTCGCTTAACCAACTGAGCCACCCAGGCGCCCAAAAACTAAAATTTTTAAATGGAATACTGGAAAAAATTTAGGAGAGTTTTTTATAATTTCAGGGTTGGAAAGACCTTTCCAAGCAAGATAGGCTCTCCAGAAGTCAGATACAAAGTTCAAAGACCAAAAACAAACCGAAAAGGAGACTGGGAGAAAATAAGTATCAGTGTAGGACTTTTGGAAGCAAATAACAGAAAATCCCATTCAGAATGACTTAAACTCGAAGGAGGTTATTAACACACTTTGCAAGAAGTCTAGGGGCAAAATGGTTCTGCAGCATTAGTTAGTTCAGTAGTTCAGACTCCTTTCTGTTTTTCTCTTCTCTCCTCATTGTGTTGGCTTCTGTCATCAAGCTTATCTCTTCATTGTGCCCTTTCTTCTTCTCAATATTTGAAAATACCTCACAGTAAAAGATTTGATGATAGCAAACCAAGTCAGAATAAAATTATCCCAAGTTATACATTTGTTTCCCATTTTTCTTTAGAGAAAGAAAAAAGTCGATTAAGGAAGTGTTATAATAATGGAAACAGGAACAAAAACATGATAACTGCAGTCAAACATTTGTGATGTATGTGGGCCACTGCATTTCTAAGGAAGACTAGACAAGAATAGGGAAGGTCAGATTCTTGATAATTTAGACAAAGTCAATCAACTACTGTATAAGAAAGTATCATTAATTTACTCTTGGGAGTCCCTTAATAAGACTTAATTACTCCCTCTACATGTTTAAAATCCTATAGATTATTTACATAGAAATAATACCTTGCTAAAGAAGGACTGAATATTTAGCCAGATCAAATTTAAGAAAAAAACCTTGAGTTTCATCACAAGCTGTTAAAGCTATTATTTTGTACTAGGTGACACCCCGTTTAACATCGACCATATTGTTAATAGTTATGGGATTTTATTGAATTAATGAGACTGTTATCATGTAGTAGAATGTCTTGCTGAGTTAATTGAAACTGCAGAGATTATATAAATGGTATTAATGAACTTTGACTGCCTGATGCCTCAGCTTTAATAAAGACTGCTTGGTGGGCTAAATGAACACAGGCAGATAAAAGAACAGGTTCAATTTTGTGAGCCTACAGGCTGTTGATGAAGAAAACTTCGTTACCTTTATTTTCAACTGGCATGAGTTTGGAGTGCAGTGACTACTAACGATCCAGCAGGGATAAAGGCTTTAAGCAAGCAGAAATGCTGATGGTATAGATGCAAGCAAAATACACATTTTGGGAACCAATAACTATACTAGCAATCTATTATATTTTATTTTGCTTTGTCGTATTTACAGCATATTGAATTTATGATCATTCTTTCTAAATAGTTCTCCTTTAAAGATGTTTGTACATTTGCCACTTGTAATTATTAATCAGGTTTTACTAGTCTAGAATTAAGAGTAAAACTAACAATCTCTTCCAAGTCTGAGAAAATATCTCTAGTTTAGTTGGAAGTCAACAATGAATTTGTAAAAGGTTGTCTTAATGATATTCAGGGGACTCTTAATTTCCATTACACAAAGAGCACCCTTATTTATTGGTTTGAAATATGATTTGTTATTCTATTTCATTTTTCATATTGTAGTTCAACATTTACCAATATATTGCTATATGGAGAGGTAGGTATTTAATCAGTCAGTGAGTACCTTCTATGTGCTGAGCCTGTAGTAGGAGCTGGATTTTTCTATCAACACATAGACATCACTTATCACAGTTTCTAATTGTATAGTCACTTCTCTGCTCATTTTATTATTGTGTATCTTGCTCTCTAGACTGCAGGCTCCATAATGGTAAGAAACTTGCCCACTTCATTCACTTTTGTGTTCTCAACATTATCATAGATAGTTAATAATTTTTGACATATGAACTTGAAAACGAACTTTGCATGAGCAAGTGGAGAATCTGGAGAGAACAGTATCGCAGAAACTAGAGGGAAGAGAAAATTTAAAGAAGGTGGGAAGGTGCATTTAGGCAAGTACTCATTCTTATTAAACCAGCCATTGGTTAGAAAATACCTTGAGGGGGAAAAGACCCAATCAGAAGATCACCACCACCATCAGCAACAACGAAAACCTAGTAAAAAACTTAACAGTTTACAAACTTTTGGGTTGGAAAATCTGTTGTTCTTTAAAATATCTTCTTCAAGTTAATTTTAATGCAATGCCAGTAAAATTGCAATATTTTGTTTAGCATTTTATTTAAATGATACTGAAGTTTACCTTCTAATTAAATTAAAACAGGCAAGATAACTTTGAGGAAAAGAAAATATGGCAGAATAAAATGTTTTACAGCTCAAGTCATTAAAATAGTAAAGTTCTTGTTAAGAATGTACAAACCAATGGAATACCGGTAAAAGCTGAGAAAAAACAAGCACTAATGATTCAGTGTATGGTAAAGACAGCATCTCAAAACTCTTGGGAGAAGATGGGTTATTCAATAATTAGTTGAACTCTTTTGCAGAAAAAAATACAGATTTATTCTTCAGGACAAAACTAAATACCCGATTGGTAAAGAATTCAAGCTGTAATAAAGAAAAGTATGTACTCATCTAATCTCCATATAAGGAAAGCCTTTTCAGGCATGAAAACAAAACAAGAAACCATGAAGGATGATGTATTGATTTAATAGTTTTAAAGTATAGAGATTCACGATGACATAAGATATCACTATTAAAAGACAAATGATAGGGGCTCCTGGGTGACTCAGTTGGTTGAGCATCTGCCTTTGGCTCAGGTCATGATCCCAGGGTCCTGGGATCGAGCTCTTCATCGGGCTCCCTGCTCAGCGGGGAGCCTGCTTCTCCCTCTGCTGCTCCCCTGCTTGTGCTTTCTCTCTCTCTCTGTCAAATAAATAAAATATTTTTTTAAAAAAAGACAAATGATAAACGTGGGAAAGTGTAACAAAAATGACTACAGGTTAATATCCTGAATTGGTGAAGAACTGTAACAAATTATCAGGAAAAAGGAAACACTTCATTAGGAAAAAATGGGCAATTCATTAAATAATAATAGCCAATAAAATTTTTGTGTCAGTCTCACTAGCATTTCAATAGGGTAAAACAACCATTTGACTATGAAGTTTTATAAGATTTTTTTTTAAGATTTTATTTATTTATTTGACAGAGAGAGACAGTGACAGAGGGAACACGCTTAATGACGGAGCCACCCAGGCACCCCGAAGTTTTATAGGATTTAAAAACAAAACAAAACACTACAAGTTAAGATGTGTGAAGTGGCAATTTTTATGCCCTAAAGTGAGGGAATTCTTTCTGAAGGGTAGCTTAATTGTATATATCAGAAACTTTAACAAATTTCCTTACTCATTCACCCATAAATTCTACTTCTAGGGACTTTATCCTAAGGAAATCATAGAAACAGGCAAAAAGATTACAAGATATCTACCATAGTTTTTAATTTTTCTTTCTTTCTTTTGGTCAGTCTGTCCATCCTTCCATTTCTTCCTTCCTTTCTCCTTGTTTTTTTTTTTTTCTTTTCTGTAGCTACAGTAATTCTTACATTAAGTAGCTATTACTTTGATGATTAAATTATAGCACGTGGTTTTTAGAATAATTTGAGATTATTCCAGGAGAATAAACACCTCATATGATTTTAAAGCAAACTTAGCACTTAATTCCATTTTTTCTGTGTCTCTACCATGTTCCTTTAAGGGATAGTCAAATAGTTGTCTCAAGGTTTGTTTAGTAAGAAAATGGTTACTTAAAAAGATTGAAGTGGTGTGTGGTAATTTGTCTTAATCACCAGAAAGTTGTTGGTGTGTCATAAATTATTTTGTACAAATCTCAGTAAGTCCTAATTGAAGTCTAGTGATAACTTACAAATAAACTCCGATAGAGTTTACTTTCATATTATTTTGTGATGATCACTAGCTTTTAAGAATGGCATGGTACTTCTAGAATGTACAGAGGGTTGTGTGACTGCCCTTCCCATCATGGGAAGTCTCTACTTCCGCCAGTGAAACTCTCTTTTCTTTGCTTCCATATTTTATTTTTATTTCCTATTAAGGTGGTGTTTTGTCTTATATTTTTTTTTTATAAAAGATCATCCAAAATTATTAAGGAAAAGGAAAATGATAATTTAAGAGGCAGAAAAGATTGTAATCTATATTTAACTTGCTAAAACATGTTTTCGGATGCTTAAGGGGGAAAAATCTTATAGTTAACAAGGCACATTACTAATGTGGAATACCTTATTCTCCACAATAATGAATAAATAATGAATTTTTATAATATCCTTTTAGAGACACCTTAGTAACCAATATACTTTTTTGTTTCTGTGCCTATTCATGTAATCCACAGGTGAGCACCAATATAAGGAAAAAGCAAATACAATTGGTGAATTCACTAAATAAATTGAACAGTAACCTTATAGTTGAAGTAGACAGGAAAAAAAATTATGGTAGTTTTCAGATTAAACATGTTGAAAATCATACTTTGAAAACTTTGTTTGCTGTTATACCTGCTAAAGATTGTTTCTTTTATTATCCAACATTTCCAGCTAGCTGACTTCAGCTTTTCCTAAATCTACAGACATCCTAATTTTGAGCCATTATATAATGAAAACATTGGATGTAATTTCCTTAGGTCTACAGTTCTTAGTTGCCCTTCTTACTGCAGATCTTTACACTGCAGCTCATGATTATAATTTGCATAAATGAAATTCATATTTATGAGTACAGATCGTGAAGCAACTGACAGGTGCAAGGTTGTCTACCATGCCAATTTATTGTTTGTTGTGTCATTTAAAAGAGAACTGCTCTCCATGTTTTAAAGAAGAATTTGTGCTATGGTTGAATTGGAATCAAATTCTAAAAGTAAATAAAATCTCATTTTGTAGCTTTTCATTTTATGCATTTCAATGAAATATGTAAATGGTGGTGAGGATCAGTTGAAGAAGCATTTAACTAAGCCTATTCTGTCCACTGGTGGACTCTCAACATCCATCCCCTCTCATTTCTCTTGCTCTTATGTTTCAGGGAATGCACGAGCTGTTAGCGCCTATAGTCTTTATCCTCCACTGTGACCACCAAGCTTTTCTTCATGCCAGTGAGTCTGCCCAACCAAGGCAAGTTTTTATTTGAGCTCTTTCTGTTTTTTCAGCCTTGCTTCAATCATTTTAACCTCAGAATCTTTTACATTGAAGGTACTTTTGTAAATTGTAAACATTTGGTTGTGTTTCATGTGGCTGACTGTTAATTCTACTTAATAGTTTTAGTCCTGGTTCAGCTGTGGTACAAATTTGGAATCATAAATGTCTTTGCAAATCTTAGATCTGTGCCAAAGGAAGATATATAACTAATGGATCAAGTAGAGCAAATTTTTGTTATGATGGCAAAGTGCTAATGATTGGTAATATTCATATATATAATCCTCTCATGACCCATTCTTTCACTATAGGCTGCATGAGAACCTTGTCTGTGAGATCCTTTCTCCCCACCAGGTTTCAGTGAGTTCAGGTCATAAATAGGAGACCAGTACCCCAAAGGACCCCAGTCTGTAAATAAAGAAAAATGACTTGTCATGTTTTTGAGATACATTAATTTATTCTTCACAGCAAGTAACTTTAGTATTTCCTAGCTTCTTTTGAATTTCTCTAATTATACTGAGTCTGTGCATCTGACTAGAGTAACCGTATCTTAATTACCTTTTCTTCAGTTATTCTAAAGTATGGTAAGGGTGGAGTTAGTCTTGGGATCCTGTTTTCATGCCAGTTTTATCTTTTTAAAAGCATGTGTATACAATATACTTCACAGGAAAGTATAGATGTTTGAAAATTGCTTTTAAATAAGTTGGACATGCTGTTTTAGCAGTTTCAAGCCAGTGAAGGTGAAAGCAACACTAAAATAGATTTGAAAGAGGTACTGTCACTAATTAATGGATGTTAAATATAATAAAAACAGAAGCCACTGAAAGAAAATAATGTTCTGATAGGATATATTTGACTCGTAAGTATTTTGTTTTGTTTTGTTTTGGAAAACAAGTGATAGATTGTGGAGTAATCAATTTATTCTAGATCAGGCACATTCAAGGAATCTATTGTCACATTTTGTAGTTGTTATTTGGAGTAATTAGATAGTTACTTCATTCTGGTATAGACAAGGCACCTAATTTGATTTTGATCTTTATAGAAAGAAAGGATTTCATTTGTTAATGGAATTGCTTTTTTTATTTAGAAAGGATGATTTTTTTTTCATTTGCACACTATATGAAAGTTGGCTTATGAGTATAGAATAAGGCAACTTCTGCATCCCCTTCAACTAAAAAATGATACATTTTGATTATTTGTATTGCTTTTTTAAGTGAGGAAATGAAAACTCTCTTGAACCCCAAGTATCTGGAACATGATGCCTAGTAAGTACAAAAGTTCTGTTATTTTAATTTTTTATGCCATTTCTACTTCAATGAGGGTTTAACATTAGCACTGTATTATTTTCTAATTTTTAGTGCGATGTTCTCACAACTTATGGAAACTGCTGAACCTTGGTTTTCTACTTTTGAGCATGATGGTCAAAAGGCAAGTGTTATAGTACAGATCTTTTCAATATATTTGAGGGAACAAATGATTTCAGTAAGTAGCAACGTCTAATCAGAGAATCAAAGCCATTATTATTACTATAAAAAAAACAAAAATCTAAAAATCTATGGAATAAGATTGAATTGGGGATCTAAACCATATTGCTAATAATATTGGCAGAAATATAAAGGTAAAATTAAAAATTTCATGTAAATAGAAATTTTATTTTATATGTATATTATCCATGCAATAGAACTTCTTACTTGAAAAATTATTATAAATTTTGAATGACAAGTAACATTTATCTGCTTGATCTATTGTTACACAAGTGAGTTGATAGACATTTTGTTACTGAAGCGCCTAGACAAACTGTGTGAAATAGGCTGTCTTATTTTTACTAATACATCACTGTTGAATTTACACATTTAGCTTCAATACCTTCATTTATCATTTACTCTTTTATTCTTTTTAACTATAATTTTTATTATGTGTTATAACCAATATACCATAACATTGACCTTTAAAGTGTACAATTTAGGGGCGCCTGGGTGGCTCACTCATTAAGCGTCCACCTTCGGTTCTGGTTGTGATCCTGGGGTCCTGGGATTGAGCCCTGCATCGGGCTCCCTGATCAGCAGGAAGCCTGCTTCTCCCTCTCCCACTCCCCCTGCTTGTGTTCCTTCTCTCGCTGTCTTTCTCTGTCAAATAAATAAAATCTTTAAAAAAAAAAGTAAAAAAGTGTACAATTTAGTAGTTTTTAGTATACTCACAAGAGTGTGCGAATGTCCCTAATATCTGATTTGAAAATATTTTCATCACCCCAAAAGGAAATCCCATACCCATTAACAGTCACTCTGCATTCCCTCCGTTTCCCAGAGTCTCTGGCATCACTAATGTACTTCCACTTTCTATGAACTTGCCTATTCTGGACATTCCATATAAAATGGAACCATTTAATATGTGGCCTTCTGTGATTGACTCCTTTCACTTAGCATAACGTTTTTAGTGTTCATTCCTGTTGTAGCATGCATCAGTACTTCACTCCTTTTCATGGCCAAATAATATTTCACCATGTGGATATACTACATTTTGTTTATCCATACATCAGTTGATGGACATTTGGGTTCTTTCACTTTTTGGTTATTAAGAATAATGAGGCTGTGAACATTTGTGTACAAACTTTGTGTCTACATATGTTTTCAATGCTCTTGGCATTTCTCTAGGAGTAGAATTGCTGAGTTAACTGACATCTTAAACAAACATATATGCTAACTTAGAGATCATTATGGTGTTTTCATTGTTATTACACAATATTGGAAGAATATTAGAAAAAATGTCAATTATTCTGGCAAGGGATGTCATTAAGAGTTTTTGGTATATATATATAATATATATGTATATATATAATATATATATTTTTTCTATATGATTAATTCATTTTATATTGATATAATTGATTGCATTCTGGTTAGAAACCATATATTATTCTGTCACTTTATTCCATCTCTTAAAAAAATGAAATGGATAACTAATGCTTTTTATGCCTTTGGTCTAGATCAGGGCAGACTACTGCCTGCAGGCCAATTTGGCCTGCCATCTGTTTTTATACAGCTTGGGAGTTAAGCATGGCTTTTACATTATTAAATGGCTGAAAAGCTATCAAAAGAAGAATAATATTTTGTGGCATATGAAAATTATATGGAATTCAGATTTCCATGTTCATAAAAAAGTTTTATTGGGAAATAGCCATGTCTGTTTGTTTCCTTACTGTCTATCGCTGCTTGCTCATTACAGTGGCTCATTACAAATTTGAGTAGTTGCAACACAGACGGTATGACCTATAAAGCCTAAAATATTTACTATCTGGCCTTTACAGAGAAAATTTGCTGATCTTCAGCCTAGGTGATAAATTCTTTCTTTATTAATATATCAACATGTTACATTCTCTAAGGGTTGTTAGAGGTGAAACTTGTAAGCATATTTGATGAACTACCATGTTTTAGAACAATTACTTTATATTTGTTCTTGGCAGGAGATTTGATGAAGTCATAGGCTTATGTGAAAATCAAAATTTTGAGCAGAAAGTATTTGAATACATTTAAATAAAAGCATCATGACCTCTTTATGCAGTGGTCATTTTGTATTTTATAACTGACTCACAGTATCTGCAAAAGTGAATGATAAAAATGTGAGCATTACCACTTTTCAGTTTTACCCATTCATGTTGATATCACTGAATCAAGTTCATGAAAATGGCTAAGACAACACGAAGAAGGATATTTATTCATTTTATCAAGAAAAAACACATAGATGCAACCTCTGAACATTTATGTTACTTGTATATATCAATGAATAATATATTCCTGAAAAGCGTATCTAGTGAATCCCTCTTTCATTGTCCCCTTTTTATTCTATGCCTTGATTCTATCACCTTTTTTAAAAGAAGTTTGAGAAATTAATATACTACTGTCTTTCAGTTCTTCTAGTTCCCTTGACAATTCAGTTCTATCACTGTGCATGTTGCCTCGGCCAGCAGACATACTTTCCATAATGAGACTCTCTTGATGAAGAAAGCAGTGTGTTGCTTTACATAGTGGTGTAGAATTATCTCGCTGAATCCTTGTAACAGTTTGTGGACTGGCACTGACCTGTAGAGCACATTTTGAGTACCACTTAATAAATGGTTAAAAAGATTGCTAGTTTTGTTGGAGCTTGTAGCCATCCCATATGATTATATTTGTTAAATGCAAATAGCATTTTTATGGTGATAAATCTTTAAGATAAGGAATATCTTATATTAACTAAAATTTTCTCTTTTGGTTTCACTGTTAGATAAGCTGTTTACCATTTAAATGATCATGAGCATTACTTGTGAGTTTCTTAAATTTAAGAAATTTTGTTGTAAGTATTCTGAGCACAGGGGAAATCTTTTCAAACTACATATTTAAGTCTGTAGTTCTTAAGCTACACATGAGTCTCTCTTCAGTATTTGATAAATGGACCATATAGGCTGTTGATTTAGTGACAACTCATTCTCTTCAACCTGGAAATTGATTACATTATTTCTTAAGTTAAACCTTTGTTAACAGGTTAATTTAGGATCAGTTCTCTCCAAAGCCAGTGATTGTATCTTTATAGAAGTGTGTTTATTCAAGACCCTTAGAAGATGACTAGGTGTAGTGATCTGTTTCCCACGTGGTTGTTAGAAACCCTACCTGACCTCAGTGCCTTCATCCCACACAATATGGTATTCAGCCACACAAGGTTCTTCAGTAAAGAAAAACTACATGATTAAAATAAGCAAAAAGTTGAGTTGTTCATTTTTAAAGGAAAGTTGGCTTCAGCGTAAACAGTATCTCTTGAATGTGAATGGTATCCTAAAATTAACATGAATTCCCTCCCAATTATTTCAATTTAATATCAGTAGGAAAAAAATTGAGCAAGAATTAAGATTTTTTAAAAATTATAGCATCCTGTCATTTGAAGAGAATACTTGATATTATAAAATCAGAAAATGGTATCTTGGTTGTACTGTTTTTATAATAAACTACCACAACATAGAGGTATCTTTTTCTCCTATCTATACAAATTAGCAGAAACTACTTGAGCCATAAAAATCAGTATGGTCTTACATCCCTCAGACCTACAGATGCTGGTGTAGACACTGTAGGAAGTACTAAAGACTATATTTCTTTTTAAGACTTGAAATGATCCTGGCAAGACAGATGGAACCTCTTCCAGGAAGTTTTTCCTAATGCTAACACATGCCCCTCATCTCCTCTTTCTTTCTACCAGCCTGATTAGTCACTGCTCTTATGTGGATTTCTACATTTTTTTCTGCATAATCTTCCCCTCCAGACTACAAGGGCAAGAGCTTTACCTTCTTTATTTTTTTTTTTTTAAAGATTTTGTTTATTTGAGAGAGAGAATGAGAGAGAGAGAGAAAGCATGAGAGGGTCAGAGGGAGAAGCAGACTCCCTGCTGAGCAGGGAGCCTGATTTGGGACTCGATCCCGGGACTCCAGAATCATGACCTGAGCGGAAGGCAGTTGCTTAACCAACTGAGCCACCCAAGTGCCCGAGCTTTACCTTCTTTATTTTGTCCCCATGAATGTGGTCCAGTGATGATAAGATGATGTTCCTTTTAGAGATCTCATGGTTTAGGAACCAAAGAAGTAGAAACAGATACTGTAGAGGTAAAGAAGAAGATGAAATAGGACCTGACGCTTGAGCCAAATCTTTATGAACACTGGGGAGCTCCTCTGTGGAAACACTGGGGAGGGGATATTTCAGGTAAAAGAATGGCATCCCCAGGATCTCTGGAAGCACAGTGAGAGTAGAGGCTGACCAGATAATGAAGGCCTTATAGACCTGGCTCAAGAATTTGTCTTTTGTTTTTGTTTTTGTTTTTCCTGAGGAGGGCAACTGGGCGTAATTTAATACCTGTTTTAGATGGATCACCAGGCATTTCGGAAGCTAGATTTAAAAGCAGACTGAATTAAGGGCAGTGAGACCAGTTAGGAGGAAAGAAATGATTAGGACCCCAAATCAGGTTATAACAGTAGAGCTGTAGGAGAGGAGACATAGTAAGAGTCTCCTGAGTGGTTCTGAGGAGCTAAAATTGGCAAAGTGGGTGTTCTTATTGGAGGATGGGTTAAGGTAGGCATGGGGAAATAATGAACATGTTTTTGAGCAGAAGATGATAGCTCAGTAGTGGGCCTGCTGAATTAGAGACCCTTTTGTAACCTAAGATTCCTTACCAACATATAAATGTATGGGAGAGAACCCAAGAAGGTTCTAGGTTATGAATACAGATTTGGAAGTCTTTGGAAAATGGGCATTGTTGTATGAGTATGATCACTCAGGGAATCACATGCAAGTAGAGAATTAAACTAGGACCAGACCTGTATGAAAAAGCAGCATTTGCAAAGCAGAAACAAAAATTTGAGCTAGAGAAGTAGAGTGAGGGAGTGACAGGCAGTCATAAGAGAATGATGCTATAAATCTCAAGATTGGAGAGAGGTAGAAATTGAGGACTCAACATAAGAAAGGTTAGACATAGGGACACCTGAGTTTCTCAGTCAGTTAAGCGTCTGCCTTCGGCTCAGGTCATGATCTTGGGGTCCTGGGATGGAGTCACTGGTTGAGCTCCTTGCTCAGCAGGGAGCCTGCTTCTGTCTGCCTGCCACTCCCCCTGCTTGTGCTCAGTCTCTCCCTCTCTCTCTCTCTCTCTCTCTGACAAGTAAAAAAATAAAATCTTGAAAAAAAAGAAAGGTTAGACATCATATATTAGGGGAAAACATCAGACTTGAGAGGGTGGTTGAAGTTTACATGAAAGCATTACAAGCAGTACAGATATATCTTTCTTAATGTGAGATTTGGAAGGGGAAGAAGGAAAGTTGTAGTTGGCCTACATAGATTTTTTTTATTATTATTATTCAGCTGTACTTTTGATCTGGAGAGTTTAAAAATCTTCCTACTCAGCTATTTAATTTGATCAAAGGACAGTTAGAAAATATCATATCCTCTTTTCTAATACTAGTTTCCTTTATTTCCTAACTTTTTTATAGTTTGGAGAGCTCAAAGTAAAACATTTTTCATTTACTGTTTTTCATGTTTAAGTTTTATGCCACAAGAAATATGTTGTCATCAGAGTATTCCATTTAGGTCCTATGGCTGATTAGACAAACTAACTATACACAAGTAGACTAGCAGCTACCACTACCTGTAGTGAAAAATTATCTTGAAATACTCCATGTCACCAGAGAAACTGGTCAAGGGAATACAAGTAGGAAATATTTTAGAAGGCATTTCCTGGCCTTTATTTGATGAGCATAATCATCTGTATGATGATCAGCATATGATTCTACATTTAAGCATGTGTCATGAGATGATTAAAGTAGTTATTGGTTCTTATTTTCGCTCCCATTGATAAATACATTGAAGAATGATGTCCATATATTTGTTCATTTCATATTGAAATAACACATGCTCCATTTTTTTCTCTTTTTAGGGGAAAGAAACACTGATGACTCCCATTCCCTTTGCTAGACCACAGGATTTAGGGCCAACAATTGCTATTGTTACTAAAGTCAACCAGATCCAGGATCATCTACTGAAGAAGCATGATATTGAGCTTTATATGCACTTGAACAGACTAGAAATCGCACCACAGATATATGGGTTGTAAGTACTAAAGTTTAAGTTTCAGCTACATCTAATTATGACTTAATGGTGGTTTCTGTATATCTCAGATCCACAGAGGGAAGACCAGAACTGTTCCAGCTCCATTTCATTTCATATGACTTTTGTGTCTTATGTGCCAGGCTCTGTGTTATTACTTTCACATGTGATATTTCATCCAATACTCACACCAGTCCTGTTAATTGAGTGTTGTACGGGGGGAAGAAACTAAGGCTAACACTGCGTTTAGACATATTAAATAGTGAAATCTTAATTTGGATTCAGGAAGGATTGGCTCCATAATCTGCAGAGCCCAGTGCAAAATAAAACTGAATGCCCCTGTAAAAAAAAAAAAAAAAAAAAAAATAGCAAGAATTTCAAGATGACAGCAGCAGATCATTAAGCCAAGCATTCTAAGAAGTACAGGGTGACACAGATCATACACACATGAAGCTAGCCCCAAACCTAAACAAACCTATACGATATCCATGTGCTTTCCATTTTATTGGGAAGTGCTTCCTAAAAGATAAATGTTCCTCACAGTAAACATAATATGGTAATCATCTTCAGCCAATAACTTCTCCAACATACTATAGCAGAAGAATAGGGAGCCATTCCTCAGATATGTGTGTGTGTTTGTATGTATATTTATTCAGTGGCTTACTTTATAAGGTGGGTAGGAAAATTAGAAAGATTGCAGTTTTTTTTTTCTTTTTTTTTTTTTTATGTTATATTAATCACCATACATTACATCATTAGTTTTTGATGTGGTGTTCTGATTCATTGTTTGCGTATAACACCCGGTGCTCCATGCAGTACGTGCCGTCTTTAATACCCATCACCAGGCTAA